CTTGGAGGCTGGGCTGCACCTGGAGGCTGGGCTGCACCTGAGGCTGGGCTGCACCTGGAGGCTGGGCTACACCTGGAGGCCCCACACGGAGGCCGCATTGCAGGTGGAGGCGCAGCTGGAGAGGGGTAGGGCAGGCCACATCCAGGCTGCACTGTGGTTCAAGCCTTCCACCTGCGAGCCCCTTGCAGGTGGCAGATGCTTACCACAGATGCAGCCTCCAGGGCCTCCCAGCGCTGCTGCCTCTGAGCTTCAGGAGGGGCCTGAAGATGTGCATTTTTATCACTCTCCCTGAAGGTTGGTAATGGGACTGATTCTAAGCAGGGCATAAGGGGTCAGTTGTGTCCTTGGCGGTGCTGATGGGGTGAGGGGGAATCCAGGTGACACGGGGGTGGCCAGAGAGCTCTGGGTCAGGTGGAAGACAGAGGCCTGCCCAGGGAAGAGTGGGCGTCACCTGCGGCCAGTGCTCAGCGTCCAGTAGCCCCAGGCTCCATCAGAGCTCCTGCAGGGGCGCCAGGCACATGGGCAGCACCGTGTGGGGGAAGCCGAGGAGGAAGGCATGCGAATGCCCCATCCCAGCCTGGGGGGCTTGGGGGCAATGCTGGGGCCCAGGTTTAGGAAAATGAAGACAGGAAGTGGTGGGTTGGAGGGGAAATGGGGGTGCAGGGCTGAGGGGCTGTGGGGTACCCACAGGCCGCAGGAAGCTCACCCAGGGATCGAGGAGAGCTTCAGCAAGCCAAGACACAGCCCCGGCCCTGGACGTGTCAGGGACTTTATTTGTGGAAAGCAGAGAGGAGCCAGCCAGGCCTGAGATGGTGGAGTTAACATCTTCAGTTTTCCCACATTCCCCATCCTGAGGGTCCTGATGAGCCGTTGACACCAAACCTGGAGACCCCCACATCCCCCCTCCTGCCCACACCGTGCTTCCTTCCTGGGTGTGACCAGCACTTCCTGGGAGTGGGGAGGGAGAGCTTCTGCAGCCTCATCCCAGGGTCCCTGGGGCCAGCCCCATCAGCGGCCCTGTGCATCTCGTGACAGGCCTGGGCTTTGTCTGGGCCTGTCCCAGAACGGAGCTTATCCTGACAGCCAGGAGTTCAGGCGGTGCACCCACCCCAGGCCAGGCAAGGATCCGTGTTGAGTCACCTTGGGACATGGAGGCCCTCCTGGGGAGTGTAGCAGGGACCCCAACTCTCCAGGGCACTTGCCTTGGGCAGATGACCTCCATGGTGGACGAGCTGCTCAGGGTGATGCAGACAGGAAGGGAGTGGACTCCAGCCAAGAGCTCAGTCGCACAGGCCCAGCCCCTCACCTGATGGCCGAGGGTCCCAGGGGCTCCTCAACTCCAAATGACCTGTGCCTCTCCTCTGGTCACCTTGACCCCGTCCAGTTCACAAGGTCATTTGTGGCAGATTTGTAGCAGCCGTGAGGGGCAGTGGGTTCACCAAACCCCACTGTGCACCCCCAAGGCCCGGCATCAGCCTGAGTCCCAGACAGGCTCAGGGGAGGGAAGCCCCAGTTTCTGGGGGGGGCGTTAATAGACTGGAGCTGCTCAGCCGGCATGCAGTCAGTAGTGAGCCCCCAACTCAGCAGCCACCTTCTGAAGGAGGGTCTTGTGGTTCGCATAGAGCGGGACACGCCTGTCCACCACCTGCCATCGGATGGTGACCCCCGGGTCACAGGCATGCAGGTTCTGGAAGAACAAGGGCAGAGCTGACCCCGCCGGCCCTGCCTCCACCCAGCTGAGCCCACAGACTGCGGCCTTCCAGGGCCCGGGGCCTGCTGCGGGCTGGCCCGTGTGCCTCACTTAACTCCCCTGTGAGGTGAGAGGCAGGGCCCCTGTGACAGGGGCACCGGAGATGCACCCAAGAGGCCCTGGGGATCCCTCAGGGGAAGAGGATGGTGAAGCCTCGAGGGAGCTGTTTAGCCTTCGTTTAACGCCCGGGGTTATTGTATGGAACTTTCCCATCCCGGTTCTGAATTAGGAGCCTGCAGCATTGATCCAAGTACGGGGAACCCACATCCCCATAAAGGGCTACCAGCAGGGAGCGGGGAGGGCTTTGCCAGCCTCACCACTGGACGCCATCCCTGAGGCCTCCCTGGAGGACCCGGTCCCAGAACTGCACAGGGCCATGGTGGGTGCCTGCCCGGCCCGGTCAGCTCCAGCCATGTTTGGCAGTTCCCCGGCCTCTCCCTGGTGCCCCCCTTGTCACTTTCTGGGCAAGACTCTGGCCCTGGGCCCCAGGAGCACGGCCAGGTACCCCCGCAAGAACCTCCTGGGGCACATCCAGAATCCGGACCCCTGCCCCCGCACTCCCCCGAGCCCATGCCCATACGGAGTCCAGCCTGTTGAGCTCCACGTCGTTCTGGTCTTGGAAGTGGATACTGACGGCCACCGTCTCGATCCAGGCATTGTCCGTGTTCCTCGGGTCATCCACGTAGCCTTTGTACACCTGGATGGGCAGGGCAGGGTGAGCTGGCCAGCGAGGGACCCGATGGGTGCCCGGGCCCACCACGTGCCCTCCACCTGTCCCAGCCCTGAGCATGGCTGCCACCACGCACAGGCCCCCGGCCCAGCTCTCCCCACCCTCTGCCAGCCTGCTCTGGCCTGCGCAGCCGAGTGGCCCGAGGCGGGCATCATCCTGGACAGATGCGTCTTGTCCTGCAGAGATCTTGGACACGTCTGTTCAGTGAAGGAAGTCAGCCTCGGAAGCCACCTGCTGCAGGAGCCCACTCACAACACACTCCCAGAACCAGCAAATCCAATGAGATAGAAAGCAGATTCCTATCTCATTGGATTTGCCGGTTCTGGGAGGGCAACTATCTAGAGGGGCAGTGGGTTCACCAAACCCCACTGTGCACCCCCAAGGCCCGGCATCAGCCTGAGTCCCAGACAGGCTCAGGGAGGGAAGCCCCGGTTTCTGGGGGGCCGTTGACAGACTGGAGCTGCCCAGCCAGCCTGCGTCCTGGTCCCCTGGGAGCTGTGCAACCTGAGGCCGGGGGCCGGCACCACCGTCACCCGGAGAAGCTGGGTGGGACTCCATCACCCGGTGGGGCTGGGGCAGGCCCCAGTATCACACTGTGTTCGCCCTGCAGCCCTGGGGATGTGCACGTGGAGCAGAGCAACAGGCCAGTCCTACCTCCGAGCCACGCTTCAGCAGCTTCTCAAAAGACGGCCAGTGCTCCTGCCGGAGGATCTGCTTCAGCTTCCGAGGCAGCGTCTCCCCCGGCTCCCGGGAGCCCTGGACAGCAGAGGACAGGGCCAGGTCAGCAGGGTGCTGGGGCGGGACCCAGGCTGCCCTGGCACCACCTCCACTGGCCTCCTGCCTGGCGTGGGCAGTGGCCCAGCCCTGGGAGCCACAGGCAGGCAGCGTCTCAGGCTGGAGTGACACTGCCCAGAACCCACCGTCCACGTCAGCATCTGTGAGCCCTGCAGGGGTCTGAGCTGGGGGCGCTGGCCTGCAGGCAAAACCTCTGAGGAGCAGGGACAGCCCTGAGGGCAGCCCCAGGGTGCCCACCCTGAGCTCAGGGTCCCCGAGGTGACAGGGCACCCCCACCCCGCTCTCCTGGCACCCGACCTCCCAGCTGGCGCCCAGTGCACAGGCTGCCACAGAGGTTCCTGTTTGCATTCCAGTCCCACCCTGGCCTGCGCTGGGGATGGCCGGGTTCCCAGACGCTCCCGAGCGCCACCTGCCTCAGGCGCCTGGCTCCGGCCCGCACTCCTCCTCCCTGCACCCATCTTTCCCACCCCATGTGTCATTCAAAGTCTTGCTGAAATGCCTGTGGGTGTCTCATGAAGACTTCACAGGCCACATCAGTGCCGTCCCACCTCAACCCTGGTGACACCCCACCCTGGAGCGTGTGTGCCCTACAGAGCCAGGAACCCAGGAGGCCCCTCAGAGTGCCCCTCTCAGTGACCAGCCGGAGCTGACGGGGTTCTGCTGAATGGGAGACCAGACCCAACGCCACGCACCCTGCATGGAGAGGTCGGAGAGCAGAGGGTGACATGTGCCCCAAGGCCAGGTGTGCATGGGTGGAGAAGCACTGGGTGTGAGCAGTGTGGCAGCAAGGGGACTCCAAGGCCAAAGGTTCGCTCTGCTGCAGGGGTGGTCCCGGCCGTGGAGACAGGCCCCCAGAGCACTGGGACTAGGCAGCTGGGGCTGGGCTCCAAATCCCTGTTCTGTCCAAAGGCCCTCATTGAACCGCTACCCTGCACACCTCGGCGGCACACACCCCACACCAGCAGAGGCAGCCACCAGGCCGTGAGCTCAGGTCAGAGAAACGCAACAGCTTCTTGCTGAGTTGCTGTAAGTCACAATCCCGGGACCAGGTGCAGAGGACAGGCCCTGACGGGCAGGCTGTAACCCAGAGGTCGCGCCATGGCCAGGCCTGGCGGGACTCAGACATCCTGGCACGACCAGCCTCTTCCATCCCCTGCAGTGAGGGGACTGGAAGTCTGCAGAGGCCGTGCTGGCCTGGGAGGACACAGGAGCTGTTGGAGGCACTACTGATTCTGTCCACCCCTCCCCACAAAACCCCTGGGGTTCACTCCAGCCTCAGCCCCACAACCAGCCCCTTCCCCTGAGCTGAGGGCCTGTGCACACCCCTGGGTCCTGCCCCTGCCCCTGCCCCTGCCCCTGCCCCTGGATGACACCGTCCTGTCTTTACAGCTCAGCCCTGGGCCCCAAAGGTCGGGAGTAGGTGGATGGATGTGACACCGGTGAGGAGCTACCTGTGCTCCCAACACCCTAGACTCTGCAAGGGGAGCCCGTGGCCTCCAGCCTCAGCCCAGCCCATGCCTGGGACGCAGCAGGTGCTTGTTAGTGTTTATGCAGCAGAAGAGCCTCTGAACCTGGGTTTCCCCACCTGCAACATGAGGAACCGGGAGGAGGAGTGTCTCCTACAGATAACACAGGCTGGGGCCTCCAACCCTCCCTGCCCAGTGACTGCAGGGGCTGGCATTCAGCCCTGGGCGTAATGGATGAACGGCCGAGTGACCCACAGACAGCCTGGGGGACAGAGGCCCCACTTGCAGCAGCCTTACCCCAGGCAGGGCCCAGTGCTCAGAGAGAGGGACCTTCACCACCAGCACTTCCAGCATCTTCTTTATGCTCTTCCTGCAGATGGCTCCTTCCTCGTTCCACTTCCACCTGCGGAGGGAACGGCCGTGGCTGCCCAGACCATGGTGTGGCTCCACCCTGCCCTGCACCCACAGCTGCCCAGACCCCGGTGTGGCTCCACCCTGGCCTGCACCCACAGCTGCCCAGACCCTGGTGTGGGTCTACCCTGCCCTGCACCCACGGCTACCCAAATCCCCGTGTGGCCTCCACCCTGGCCTGCACCCACAGCTGCCCAGACCCTGGTGTGGCTCCACCATGCCCTGCACCCACGGCTGCCCAAATCCTCGTGTGGCCTCCACCCTGGCCTGCACCCACGGCTGCCCAAATCCCCGTGTGGCCTCCACCCTGCCCTGCACCCACGACTGCCCAAATCCCCATGTGGCCTCCACCCTGCCCTGTACCCACGGCTGCCCAGACCCCGGTGTGGCTCCACCCTGGCCTGCACCCACGGCTACCCAGACCCTGGTGTGGCCTCCACCCTGGCCTGCACCCATGGCTGCCCAGACCCCCATGTGGCTCCACCCTGGCCTGCACCCACAGCTGCCCAGGCCCCCGTGTGGCCTCCACCCTGGCCTGCACCTTGGGGGCCTGGCCCTGCCTGGGATGGGGGGTGTCAGGCCTGCTGCAGGCTCAAGCTGTCTTCTTTTTCCAGTTCTTCATCCCCAGAGAAAGGACCCAGACAGTAACCACTGGGGCTCGTCCTTCCCCACTTCCACCAACAGCTGGTAGGACTAGAAAGAGCCCCAGCTTTTATAGAGAAATTTTTAAAGATTAAAAGCTTTAAAAAGGTACCTGCCCTTTGACCCAGCTTTGCAGTTTGACAACTCTTAGAAAAGGCGGCCGGGAGCCCAGTGAGGTGACGTGGGTGCCAAATGCAGCCAGGGAGGCCAAGGAGAGGCTGCAGCACCAGGGAGCAGAGCGTGACTGGCGGCCACGGGCCGTGTGTGCACCGACAGATGCCACGGGATGAGAGCGGCTGGGCAGCAAGAGGGCCCGCAGGACAAGGCCCTCTGCAGGGGAGGTTCCGGCTGTGGAGGCAGAGCCCCAAGAGACTGCGGGGTACAGCAGCTGGGCCTGGGCCGGGAACCCCATTCTACCCAACAAGAACAGCGAGCGCTCCCAGCAGCTTCGCCAGGGACGGAAGCTTCCGCACCCCTGTGAGGCGGCCTGTGCCTCAGGTGGGAGCAGCAGGCTGGATGGTAGACTGCGGGGGAGACAGCGGAGGGTGTGAGTGTGGAGCTGTGTGTGTGTGGATGGTGTGGAGTGAGTGTGAGGGTGAGCGTGGGGCTGCGTGTGTGTGGATGGTGTGGAGTGTGATGAGTGTGGGGCTGTGTGTGTGTGGATGGTGGGGAGTGTGTGGGGGGGTGTGGGTGGGGATGGGGGGGAGTGAGTGTGAGGGAGAGCGTGGGGCTGTGTGTGTGTGGATGGTGTGGAGTGTGTGAGGGTGGGAGTGGAGCTGTGTGCGTGGGTGGAGTGAGTGTGGGGGTGAGTGTGGAGCTGTGTGTGAATGGTGTGTAATGTGAGGGTGAGTGTGGGGCTGTGTGGATGGTATGGAGTGAGTGTGGGGGTAAGTGTGGAGCTGTGTGTGTGTGGATGGTGTGGAGTGTGATGAGTGTGGAGCTGTGTGCGTGGATGGTGTAAAGTGAGTGTGAGGGTGAGTGTGGAGGTGTTTCCCTGTGGCTGGGAATGGACAGGGACAGGCAGAAAAGTGATGCAGCTCCCTGGAGAGGGCATCAGCCTGGGATCTTCACACAGGAGCAGGGCATGGACATTCCTGCCATATTTCAGGTGTAGTCACGTTTATCCACAGATGCTCCCTGCATCCCCCAGTTGGGCACCAAGTGCCAAGTACCAAAGCTGCTCTCCCAGCTCCTCCCAGTCCCTGAGCACCGGGGAATGGCGGCCCCCCGACTCCGTGTCGGTGGCGCTGAGGTGCTGGAGCCCCCTGCGGGTGTGAACTCACCGTGTGACCACGGGGTGCAGCGCGTGGTTGGGTCCGAAGCAGTTGAGGCTCCCGCGCCCACGCAGCCCTGTGCGGCCCATGGGGTTCCTGTGAGGCAGAGGGTTGACTTAGCCTGCCGTCCACCACCGGGGGAGCAGGACAGGGCAGACAGTATGATCAAAAGGGGACAGCGGGCGTCAGGAGCCGGCGCACAGGGGCATGGCTTGCTAGCTTCTTTGGGAGCCTACCCTGTCATAAGGAGGAGGATCCCTTTGGCACCCCAAGGAGTAAGTTGAAGGCTCTGGGTTGCCTTGGGGTCACCTGGTGGGAAAGGGCCTCCCTGGCAGCACAAGTGCGGCCAATGCATCTGGCCAGGGGCTAACGTGGCTACCTTCTCCCCATGGAGCACGGCACTGGCCAACTGCTGGGGCCAGCACACTGCGTCCAAATGCCCCGGCACAAGAGGGCATGGCCTCCACCCTGGCAGCCTTGAGAAGGGCGGTGTGGGAGCCAGGCCAGACACCAGAGGCCCTGCGTCCATGTGGCCACACACACCCCCAGCATAGTGTGCTAGCCAGGGCAGCAGGAGCCACAGACGCTTCCCATCCGGCCAGGCTGGCTTCCCCAAAACCACCAGCTCCCAGGTGAAACAGCAAGTTCTGGAAAACGGCAAGTTCCTGTGAATGCATCACTAAGGAAGAAGGAAGACGCGCACCGGGCTACCGTATGGTGGGGCGCCACGTCTACAGAAGGTCCCCAACAGCGTCCCCAACGGCATCCCCGCCAGCATGCCCACCAGCGTCCCCACCAGCGTCCCCGCCACCGTCCCCACCACCGTCCCCGCCACTGTCCTTGCCACAGAGGGGATAGTGCTATTGTTCCTCCACCTGGCCACTCTGACCTCCAAACCCCGCCAGAGCTGCAGCCCCCGACCCGTCCCCGAGGGGCCTCTTCTCTGCACAGCCTGGACTCCAGGCCACCTGCCACCTCCCCTCGGCCCCCCCATTCATCTCACCTCCTCTGAGCCGGCCTGACTGTTCCCAGGGGAGCCCCCACCTCAGCTCTGCCTGTGCTCCCCACTCCTGCTGCCCTCCACACCCTCAACTGAGGCCACCAGCACTCACCCCACCCCACCTTGTACTGGCTCCCAGCACAGACGGGGCTCCCCAGCCTAGGCAGGCGCCCCCCAACCCATCAGCATGTGGACCTGAGCCTGGCCCCTGCGTCTCTTCTCTCTTCTCTGTCCCCTTCACTTGCTGGCCCTCCAGGCTCCTCATCAGCTGCCGCCTGTGGACGGATGACCCCAGGAAGGACACCAGCCCAGCTGCACCCGAGTTCCAAGTCAGCCCCACTGCCCACTTCCTCACGGATCACAGGCCGACTTCAAGCTCCACAGGCCAGCTGACACCAGGGCTCCCTCACACAGGGCGGGCAGCGCTCCTGGCCCCCTGCACTCTCCTCCCACCTCCTGCCACCCTCCGAGTCCTGCCAGTGTTGTAGCACCCTCCTGAATCCACATGGCCGTGCACGGCTGCCCCGGGAGACCCAACCACCTCTAGCACAGGCCGACGCCGCCAGGCCTGCACCATCGTCCCCGACCCTGCCTGCGTGGCAGCCTCCAGCTGGCCTCCCTGCCTCCGCCAGGCCCTCCTCTCTGTTACACCCCCTGCCGCCACCCTGCTCCTGCCCCTGCCCCTGCCCCTGCCCAGCTGTCAGGGGCCCCAGCTCTCATCACGCCTCTGCACAGACCCGCCCGTGCCCACAGCGCTCAAAGTCCAGTCCACACCGGAACCTGCCCAGTGTGTGGGGCCCACCTGGCCAGGCCTCTCAGACGCCCCCCGCAGCTCACCCTGCAGCCTCCCCTGTGGCTGGGGCCCTTGCATGGTGGGGCCCAGGCAGCCTCCCCAGAAGCTGCTCAGAAACCAGAGCCACGGCCCTGCCAAGAGGCAGAACCGGCACTGCACGCAGCAAGGCCCAGAGACCTCGGCGGGAAGGCGGGGCTCAGTCAGGGTTCCTTCGACGGCCACTGCCGCCCCCAGCCCCCGCCGAGCCCGCTTCTCCCTCCTGTCCACCCTGCCCATTCTCCTGCCTGCACTCATGCCACTGTGCGGGCAGAGCCCAGAACCAAGGCCACCAACAAATTTGGCACCAGGTGGAGCTGCAGTGAACTCCGCAAGGAGAGAAAGGCAGGGCCCTGCTGCTGGGAGCAAGGCTGCCTCGGTCTCCCTGTAATTGCTGTTCACACTGAGCCCGGCGCATTGGTCTAGAGGCTCACAGAGGAGGCCACACGTTCCTCCTAGCACGAGTCACCCCCACAGGAAGCTCTGGGCCCCAGGGCCCTGCTGTCATCTCGCTGTCCCTGTCCCTAATGGGCAAGTGTCAGAGCCAGGAGGAAGGTGAGGGCCTGCCGGCTCCCACCATTAAACCACGTGCATGCCTGCTCCTGCCAGGAGGGAAAAACGCTCCCCACACTTGCTCCTCAGTCAGCCTGAGTGAGCAGGTAGCAGGGGCTTCAGACCACCACGCGGCCCTTCCCCAGGTGTGTTTCAAAGCCCCTGTTCCCACAGCCCCCACCCACACCCAAGTCTTCAGTTGCCCTCACTGTGCCCTGATCTCAGAGCCCTGGCCATTACCTTGCCCACATGGTTCTAGCCCCTCACCTCCCTGCCACACGCCCTGACGCTTCATCGGTCCAGGTATAGGCCCTTCCATAAACCTCCCCACACAACCCCAAAGCACAAAAGCAGCGACACTTGGCAGCAGCAACCACACATTCATTTCTTCATCCACTCGCAGCTCCGGAAATGCAGATGGGTGGGGGAGGGGAGGGCTGGGCTGGGGGTGGACCAAGGCAGAATCTTTGCTAACCTGACCTCAATCTGTTTTGGAAAGAGGCGGCAAGACAAGCCCAGATGGAGTGGACTCAAAGGAGGAAGGGGCGAGCAGGCAGGGGCAGAGGGAAGGGCTGCTTTAAAGAGTTTGTGTCAGCAGGAGCAACGCAAGAGGGCAGGAGGGCCCAGATGCAGGAAGAGCAGGACATTCCCGGGATGAGGGCCTTGAGGGGCAATGGGAGGCAGGTCTGGCATGAGGGTGTACGGGGTGAACAATCCTACACATTTACGTCCTTCCCAGAACCTCAGGATCTGGCCTTGTTGAGAAATAGCGTCTGCAGGTGTAATTGGTTAAGACGAAGTTACCTTGGAATAGTGTTGGCCCCAAACCCGGTATGATTTATAATCCTAAGAACAGAAGAGATACAGACACATGCAGGGAGAGCCCATGTAGCTGGGGAGGCAGAGATCGAGGTGATGAGCCCACAAGCCAAGGAATGCAGAGGGCTGCCAGGAACACCAGGAGCTGCAGAGGCCGGGAGGAGTCTCCCTGAAAGCCCTCAGAGGGAGTGTGGCCCTGCCCACCCTTGATTTCAGACTCCTGGCCCCCAGAACTGTGAGACAGATAATCCATTTCTGAAAGGGCATCCGAGTGTGTGAGTGACTTCAGTCAGACAAGCTGACACAGGCTGCTGTTGTGAGTGGGCCAAGAGAGTTAGAGTTAGGGTTAGGGTTAGGGGTTAGGGTTAGGGGTTGGGGTTAGGGGATAAGGTTAGGGTTAGGGGTTAGGGGTTAGGGTTAGGGGATAAGGTTAGGGTTAGGGGTTAGGGTTAGGGGCTAGGGTTAAGGGATAGGGTTAGGGGTTAGGGTTAGGGGATAGGGTTAGGGTTAGGGGATAAGGTTAGGGTTAGGGGTTAGGGTTAGGGGTTAGGGTTAGGGGCTAGGGTTAAGGGATAGGGTTAGGGGTTAGGGTTAGGGGATAGGGTTAGGGTTAGGGTTAGGGGATAAGGTTAGGGTTAGGGTTAGGGGTCAGGGTTAGAGTTAGGGCTTCGGGTTAGGGTTACAGTCAAGCAGCTGCATCAATGCAGGGAAGAGATGGGAGCCACTGAGAATATTTCAATTTCAAGAATCAGAGTGATGCCAATCACACTCCAACAAAAATTGCAATAACTAGGAGGTGATAACAAACAATGGCTTAAAAACTGAAAGTACACTGCTAAATAATCAAATGAAGATTATGCTGGGTGTGGTGGCTCACATCTGTAATCCCAGCACTTAGGGAGGCAGAGGCAGGAGGATAGCCTGAGCCCAGGACCTCACGACCTGTCTGGTAGAGTGAGACTTCATTTCCACAAAAAGAGAGAAAGAGCAAAAAAAGTATAAAATGAAGATTATAATGAAATTTATAAAGTAAAAAATAAAATCCCTACACATCAAAACTTAAGGGATACAGACAACCAGGTCTTAAAGAGAATTTATAGTCTTAGGTACCCTTATTAGAAAACTAGAACAATTGAATAGAAATGAACTTTAACATGCAAATCAAGAGCAAATCCATAAGAAGTAGAAAAGAAGATAACAATAAAAGCAAAAATGGATGAGATAGAAAAATTAAGATAACAAATCCAAAAGTTTGTTTTTTGAAAAGATTATCAAATTAACCACTGGCAAGAACAATCAAGGAAAACAAAATAAGAAAAATACTTAATAAATATCAATGTTCCAAAGATAAATTACTGTAAATTTATCTTAGAGATTTTTTAAACCATAAAGAATATTATGGACATCTGTAACATAATACATTTGAAAACTCAGATGAAAGGATAGTTTTCCAGAAAACTCACAATTACTAAAAAGGACCTAAGAAGAAATAGAAAATAAGGTTCCAAAAATCATTATGGTAAATGAAGTAGTTAGAAATCCACTTACTCAAAATATGTGAGACCTCACTATTTTATAGGTATTGTCACACTTTAAGGAACAAATAATTATCTCCACTTCATTCAAATAGTTCCACAGAAAAGAAGGAAAGTTTCCCAGCTCATTCATTGAGATTGGTACAACCTCATACCAAAACCAAAGTAAGACAGTACAAGAAATATGAATCATAGGCAAATTCCACTTTTGAACACAGGTTTTTTAAAATCTTAAATAAAATGTTAGTAAATTAACTCCAGCAGTGTATTAAATATAACAGAAGAGTTTATTCCAGGAATGCAAGGATGGCTGAATACTGAAGAAGCTATAAAAATAATTCATACACTAATTGGCTAAAGAAGAAACATTATAATTGTCTCAATCGATGGCAGAAAAACCATTAGTAGCATTCAACTCTTGACAAACTGGGACTAGACAGAAACATTCCTAATCTCATAAAAGATAATTGTAAATTTCTTCAGGAAATACCATACTTAGCGGTGAAATGTTGATAGCATTCCCATTAAGTCAGGAACAATTCGTAGACGTTTCATTATAAAATTGTTCATTGTCCCAAATTTTTTTACAAATTTAATACAATTCCTATCAATGTATTGGAGCTAGACAAACTGGTTTTTTAACTCACAGAAAAGCCAAAGCGTCAAGAGTAGGAAAGGCCAATTTAAAGACATGCTACCCTAGAGTCAGGACTATTGCAAAGCTGTGGCAAACAGTGGCATGACGGAGATGAGTGGGACAGAACCCAGACAGGGTTGAGACAGGGGCAGATAGAGCTATGAAGAAAGAGCCAGACCTCAGAGAGGAGCCACATCTGGGGAGGAGCCACACCTCAGGGGAGGAGCCATGTCAGGGGAGGAGTCACACCTCAGGGGAGGAGCCACACCTCAGGGGAGGAGCCACATCAGGGGAGGAGTCACACCTCAGGGAAGGAGCCACGTCAGGAGAGGAGTCACACCTCAAGGGAGGAGCCACGTCAGGGGAGGAGTCACACCTCAGGGGAGGAGCCACGTCAGGGGAGGAGCCACACCTCAGGGCAGAAGCTACACCTCAAGGGAGGAGCTACACTTCAGGGGAGGAGCCAGACCTTAGCCGGAAATGAAGTTGGGCTGTTTACTTTCTGTGCAAATTCACAAAATAAATCAGACGCCTCCTCATACATTATACAAGCAGCGTCCAGCTGTATTAAAGACTCAGTGAAAAAAACTAATTTTAAAATGTATCAAACAGATACAGAAAAGTGTGTCTTTATAATTTCATAGAAAGAAAATAAACCTAAGAAAAGATAATGAAAATATGATTCCTAAGTCCACGGCAGAAGCATGGTGCCTATAGAAAGTGCTCTTCTGCTCTACTGAAGCCCACGTGGCCGCTGTGTCCTGCAAAGTCCTGATGCACCTGCCTGTGTGGCCTGCGTGGCGTTCCCCCATGAGAGCGGGTGCTTGCACCTTGTCGCCTAAGCCAGGCACCTGCTGTTCTCCTCGTCAGCTTCCCACAGCCACCAGATGCACCTCCCTAACACCCCCTTGCCGGTGTCACATACCCCCAACACCAGAGCAGGCCACCTGCAGCTGTAGCCACCAGGCCAAGATCTCTGCTCTCAGGCCCCGCCGCCTCCTACCGCCTCCTTACTCGACCTCCGACTCCAGGCGGAGGAGCCCACGCCCTATTCCAGAGCATTCTGCAAAGGCCTGACACACAGTCCCCCTCTCCTTCAGACCCCTTGGCTCTTCTGCTCCACAGTGCGCCCCCACATCCCAGCAGCTCCCCATCCCTGGGTTCTGGTGGCCCCTCCCACACCTTCCCCCTATGACAGGGTCCAAGACCCCCAGGCTCCTGCCCTCCGGGGCACTTGCAGGTGCTTGCGGGTCACTGACACCTTTACTTTGGGCTTCCTCGCCTGTGTGACGGGTGCAGTGCTGACCGTGTGGAGAACACGACACCAGGTGAGCCCACCAGCGCCCATCCCAGGTCCCCTCCCCGCTGCACGGCCCCTGCCCATCCTCCAAGGTATCACCCTCTCCCAGCACAGCCGTCCCCAGGAACCACAGACAAATCCAAGCTCTGGGTTATGGCAGCGGCCATGGGGCAGGGCCTGGCAGAGGCCAGCGGGGTGAGTCCTGCCCTCCCATGCCCAGTCCTCACGGCTGGGGGACACTGGCAGCTCATGTTTTCTTCTCTTTGGTGGCTCGCGTGCATGTTTTTTTAATCAGAAAAAATGCCTCCTTTGCCCAAGGAGGAAACCTGGCCCCATGCAAACCCCGAAGCCTGATGGGGCAGGGCCTGTGGGGGACACACTCACAGGGGCACACCCCAAAGGCTGACAGGGCAGGGCCTGTCGGGGGCACACTCACAGGGGCACACCCCAAAGGCTGACAGGGCAGAGACCGAGGGGGACACACTCACAGGGGCAAACCCCAAAGGCTGACGGGGTGGGGACCATGGAGGGCACACTCACAGGGGCAGCCCAGCCTGCACCACGTATGGCCCATGGAAGCTCTGGCGGTCCCTCAGGCCATCCACTGCGTTGTACTGGATGGTGGACAGCAGCTCCAGGGCGCTGGGAGCAGAGGAGAAGGCAGCGTCTGTGTCCCAGCGTGGCAGGCGGGACAGAACAGACAGGCAGGGGACGCCCCCGCCCCAGGGCCCAGCCGAGTGGCTGCAGGCTGGGTGCATGGGACAGGGGAAGCTGGGCCAGGCACCTCCAGGCCCCGAACCCCTCCTGCTCACCCAGGCCTCCCCGGGCTGGGCCCTGACTGGGGTTCACAGGGGATCCCCCAGGAGGCCTTGGGTTCGGAGCCTCTTGGGGGGCCGGCTGGGAGCACGGACAGCAGCTGGCACTCACTCTCCCACAGGGTCCATGGTGGCTATGTCCTTCCTCTCCGCCGTGTAAAAGGGTGGGTCATAGATGAGGAACTCCGTCTGTTGCAAAATGGGATTTTCCCTCAGATTTGCACCCCCACTACAAAGCTGACCCAGGCACCAGGGCAGAAGGGCAGCTCCTGGCCTCAGCAGCTGCTCAACTGGGTCCAAACCTGACCCCAACATCCCAACATGCAGGCAGAGCTCCAAGCCGGGCAGAGCCAGGGGCTCAGCTCAAGGACCCCACCTTGGGTCAGCCAAGGGGCAGGCGGCTGTCACTGGGGGCCTGGGGGTCTCTTCAGAGTGGGGCGGGGGCTAAGCTGGAACCTAGAGGCTGGGAGCGTTCTGTGTGGTGGAGACTGAGGGAAAGCAGCTGAAGCAGCAGCCTGGAATGTTCCAGAAGGGCCAGAGAGAAGCCCTGTAGCAGGAGGGTGGGGGTCTCCCGGGGCCATTAGCCACCTCTCTGTCTCTGTGTCTCTGCCTGTTTCATGCCTGGCACCCAGAAACGGGATAGAGCCATTCACGGGGGTGGGTGGGGTCTAGGAGCAGGGCATGACCGGGGGAATGGGGCAGGGGGCTGGGCCTGGGACGGCCGTGGGAGCAGCGGGAGCCTCAGGCTCTGTGGGTGTCAGTCTGCACCCCAGGCTGCTCCACTACTTCCAGCTGTGAGGCTTCTGTGACTTGACTTGTCTGTGCCTCAGTTTCCTTAACTGTCACACAGGTGCTGCCGGACACACAGATCCCCTGTGACTGTAGTGGCCAGAAGCCAGGGTTAACACCGGATGGAAGGGGACAGGGCTGCCTTCCTTCCCCAGGGGTGCGGCCACTCCACCTGCTTGGGGTCGGGCAGGCGCTCACCTCCCAGGGCACCTTCTCGTTGGGCACAGGGAAGCGCGTGACGGCGCAGCTGGGGTAGAGGAGGTGCCGGGCGCTCACATGGTAGCCATCACCCCGCTCCTCCATCTTCTTCCCACCTCCTGGCTCAGCATCCGGCTCCTCCGAGGCCTTTGGGGAGGCTGGGGACAGTCAGGAGGCCGTGAGGTGAGGCCGAGCCCAGGCTCAGGTGCCCACCCGCAGGACAGGGACTTCCTCTGCAGTTCTTCGGCCAAAACATCTCAGCTGCCTCCACCTCCCCAAGCCCAAACCGCCAGGCAGGTTGAACACCAGCTCTGAAGTGGGCGGGGCCCCCAGGGAGGGCAGACATGGGAGGTCAGGGCAGCGTCCCCGTGGACACCTGCCTCTTTGTGCAGCGGCAATTGGGGACCTCGGTAATGAGCCGAAGTCACAGAGCAGTCACCGAGGGCAAATGTGCTCCCTGGGGGCCAGCGAGACCCCGTGGCCCGAGGAAGGCCACCTATGTCCCTTTCTTAGCTGGCTGCGAATTCAGGAAAGCAGACTTTGCTTCGCGTCGCTCAGCCGCGTGACCAGGTTCAGACGAGGTCCGCAGCACCCAGACTCCGCAGCAGGGTATGTGGGAAGCTCAGGGTGCATGGGCCAGTCCTCCCCGAGGATGTCCGGGAGCCTGGTCAGGTCAGGGATTGGGCGGGGCCTCGGCGCCAGTGCGGGCATCGGTGGGCAGGCTGAGTTCCTGCGGGCGCTGGCCCTGCCAGGCCTGGGAATAGGCTGCAGCCAATGTCTTCCTCTTGCCCAGAGCGCCCTCCCAACTGACCCCAGACCCAAAAGCACTCAGGCGGGTGGAGGCCAGCTGCTGGCCTGGCCACTCACCCAGAGTAGGGACGTCCGCTTCCGAGCCGAAGCCGCTGTCCCGCAGTGTCCTCACGATCCAGTGCAGGGCTTGGGCTGTCTGGGCCACCTGGAAGGCACCGCCCACGGTGCAGTGAGCACCTGCTACCCACACACACGGCACACACCCCACTGTCCACTGCGCCCTCACTCCCCCGGCCGGGAGCCCCCCCCCGCCCCTCAGCCCCCGTGCCCTTTGAAAGTGAGACACCACCTCCTCCCCAGGCGGCCACCAAGCCAGCCAGGACGCTGCCCAGGACCCACCCTGCCCCACTCAGGGACTGCCAAGTCACACGTCTGAAGGCCCAGCCTGCCCAAGAGACACAACAGTGGGACTGCCACTGGACTGGGCAACCCAAAGGAGGGAACCAGCATGAAGCCACAGTCAGGCAATTCTGCACTGCAGGGAGAGGCCACTGGCCGTCAGAGCCCGACACTTCCAGGGCTCTTGCACCTCCCAGAAGGGACCTCCCCAGAGGCCGACGCGCTCACCACAGCAGCAGCGGGAAATGTCTGACTTCTGTGGCTCAGCACTGGGCACCCTGTCAGGGGTCCCAGCAAGGTCAAGACGTGGGGAGAGGTGGCCTGGGCAGGCCCCCGGGTGCCACAGGCAGGGCTGGTGGATGGTGGACGCCCCAGCAGCATAGCAAGGCTGGGAGCAACAGTACTGGGAGGCTGAGCCATCCGAGGACTCAGCACTGACCGCAGGGGCTGCCGTGGCCACAGGGCTGTGGCTAGAAAGCAGGCCCGGCCCGGCTGGTGGCCGTGGATGGGGTGGGGCAGGCAGAGCCTCAGAGGCCATCTCTAAGCCCTCCGCACTCCGGTCCCATGGCCTCTCCAGGGCTCAGGCACAGAGTCCTGCAGCCTCCTCGGAGGCCGGGAGGGGACGAGCATTCTGTTCCCGGGAGCAGCTGGGAGCACAGCCCAGCCATGGGGGCCTCCGTGCACACAGGAGGAGCTCAGCTACGAGACGCTCGGGCGGGGCTTTCTGGAGGACACCCGGGGCACCTCTTCCTCTGGGAAAGGCTGCCCAATGTTCCGGCCTCCTCCTCACCATCGCTTGTCAGAGCCCTGCTTCCCGGGGCCACCGCAGGGTAGAGCCACCCGCCAGGCCCAGCAACTGCACCTCCTGAGCGGAGGCCCAGACCTCAGACCCACCTGCTCCTCCAAGGAGGCCAACCTCTGCTCCATGGAGCCCGAACTCTTCAGCGGGTCCAGGTCCAGCAGGTCCGCCATGGCGTCAACCCTGAAAGAGGAAGCAGCTGAGCTGGGCGCGCCAGGCCTCGGGCCCCCAGAGCACCACGCCGCTCTGCGGACGCCCACCAGGCCCCGGCTTCCTCTTAACATGAAACAGTTTCTAGCATGCATTGCTCCCAGAGAACCAAACTGCCCAGGCCCCAGAGGGGGAGACAGACAGCCCAGGCTCCCAAGCTCGGGAGAACTGACCCTCCCAGGAGAGAGGCGCAGGTGAGTAAAGAGGGGGTGAGTGAAGGTGGGGAGTGAAGGGCAGGTGAATGAAGAGAGAAGGGGAGGTGAATGAAGAGAGAAGGGGAGGTGAGTGAAGGGGGGGAGGTGAGTGAAGGGGGGGAGGTGAGTGAAGGGGGGGTAAGTGAAGAGAGGGGGGTGAGTGCAGAGAGAGGGGGAGGTGAGTGAAGAGAGAGGAGGGCGGGTGAGTGAAGAGAGGGGGGAGGTGAGTAAAGAGAGAGGGGCGGGGAGCCCCCCGGAGGCCACCCAGGCCTGCCCGAGCTGGCTGGTACCTGTGGACCTGCCAGAGGCCCCCTGAGGCCCCCCCGAGGCCCACCTGAGCCCCCTGCTGCCTGTAGACCCACCAGAGGTCCTCCAAGGCTGCCCACACCCCCCAGGCCTACCAGAGCCCACTGGTGCCTGTGGACCTGCCAGAGGCCCCCCCGGCCCCCCAGGCCCGCCCGAGCCCCCTGGTGCCTGTGGACCTGCCAGATGCCCCCCCGTCCCCCCAGGCCTGCCCGAGCCCCGCACTTATTGCTGATGTCCTCGATCTTCTGCTCGGGCCGCTGCTTCTGCTGGAACTGCTGGTGCTGCAGGTAGTTCTCCTTCAGGTAGATCTCCCAGGACAGCAGGGCCACCTCCTCGTTCTTCTCCAGCTTGTTCTCTGTCAGGGTAGGGAACAGACAGGGGGTCCTGGAATCCTCAGGAGGTGGATCCTGAAGCCCTGACCCATCCGGGGGCCTTGGAGGCGGGGGCTGGTCCTGAGTGGCAGGAGAAGCCGGCCCCACACCTGCCCCGAGGGGGCCTCTGGGCTTGCTCAAGGCCAGTAGAAGGCCAGCAGCCTGAGTGGTCTGCATGCCTGCCGAGTGCCCAGGGTTCTGGGCGGAGCTGCCGTGCCACCTCCACCTACTCTGCACCTGGGTGGGCGGCAAATACAAGAGGAGATGGGGGCTGGCTTACTGAGCTGCTTGTGCCTCTTGGCCGGGGTCTTCAGGACCACCCTCTTGATGAAGAGCTGCAGGTGGCTGAGCAGGATGAAGGGGGGCGGTGCGGGGGGCCGGCTGTGGTACTCCTCGATCAGGTCGTGGCGCTGGAACTTCCAGATCTGGTCCGTGTGCTCCTGCACCTGCTGGAAGGTGTAGCTGTCAGGGAGGAGAGAATGACAGCTTGGGGTCAGGGTGTTCACCCAGAACAGACCCGATCGCCACCCACATGCCCACAGCGATGCCACGGAGAGCAGAGCCACGCCACACAGGAGGCCAGCTCCAGGTGCAGAACTCAGCCCACAGCCCTCACAATTTCAGGTTTCCTGGGAACCAAGGCAAGAAAAAAGGAGAATCACACAGACTTTGGATTTTATAAGTCTCACTGGGAAATAACACG